TACTGACTTCATTTATGTTACTTTTTGTTCTTTAAGTCTCTTATGAACTTAACCTGTAATTCTACCAGGCCATGGCTGTTTTATAGTAGCTCTTTATCATTCCTCTGGATGAAACAACTTATATTTTCTGTTGTTATTCATGTGACTGTCTGGCAGCCCCATCCCATTCTCCTGTTAGTCATCTGCCAGGTAACTAGATGCCATAATTGCCTTTAATATGAGACTCCTCGTAGGCATCAAATCCTGTTATAACTGAGATTTGGTAACTGTTGTCAGGGCCAGGACTAGTGACTTGTCCTAAAGCCAGGTTCTGTGGGCCAGGCTTAGGATGAGCTGAGGAAGGCATTCATTCTTGAGGTTATGTCTTGCTTGTATCCTGTCTTTTAGAATTTTTTTTTAAATCCTCACCACAGGATATGTTTTCATTGATTTTTAGAGAGACAGGAAGGTGGGGGAAAGAGATGGACATTAAAGTGAGAGAAACATCAAGAACTTATATGCATGTATGACTAACCAATGGACATAAACAACAATGTTGGGGGGGATCGGGAGGAGGGGTATGGGGGGGAGGAGAAACATCTGTAACAAAAATAAATTAATGAATAAAATTTTAAAAACTGTGTAAAAAAATTGTGATCAAACAATAAATAAATAAATAAATAAATAAATAAATAAATAAATAAATAAATAAATAAATAAAAGAGAGAAACATAGGTATGCTCCCTGACTTGGAATCAAACCCACCTCTGGTGTGGAGGGGGGCAACGCTCCAATCAACTGAGCAACCTGGCCGGGGCCTGATTTTTAGAATTTGATATTTTATTCATTGTGGATTTTTTTGCATTAAGTTGGTGACCACTTAAATTTTACACTTCACTGTACCTTAGTCTTGGCCATGCCCTTTGATCTCTAAAGAAGCCAGGTTTTGCTATATATTATTTAAGTTTTCTTCTAAAATATCCTGAAGCAGACTGCATATACATGGACAGGGGGCAATAAACATTTAGAGTGCATTATGTTGGTTTCTATCAATATTTTAGAAAAGTTTGCTTCCAATGTTCTGGAACCATCTCCTGAACTATACCTGTTAAGGGCTATACCTATTAATAAAGCCCTATTAAGCCTGCATATGAAATGCTCATACATCACTAGAAAAACTGGAAATTATTATTATGAGGCTTATTGTAATATGCATTTACAAGGAAGGTGAATTCAGACAAAGGAACCTCCAAATGGTTTTCTGCCTTTATTTATTTATTCATGTATGTATGTGTGTACATCCTCACCTGAGGATATTTTTACATTGATTTATTTTAAATGGAATGGAAGAGAGGGAGGTGGGGGGGAGAGAGAGAAACATCGATGTGAGAGACCCTGACCAGGGCTAGGGATTGAACCTGTAACCCAGGTACATGCCCTTGACCGGGGGAATCAAACCCACAATCCTTATGTCCACAGGCCAATGCTCTAACCATTGAACTAAACTGGCCAGGGCTAGTAGTTGGTTTTTACCTAGTGATCATAATTGTATTCTACTATCTTTAGCTAATTGAATTTACCCCCTTAGCTTTTTTAAAAAATTAAATTAATTGAGGTAACATAGGTTACTAACATTGTATAAGTTTGAGCTGTACAGGTCCATAATACATCATTTGCATATTGCATTGTGTGCTCACCACCCAAAGTCTAGTCTCTTTGATCACCATATATTTGACTTGCTTTACCCTATTCATCCTCCCCCCATTCCCCTTTGCCTCTGGTAACCACCATATTGTCTGTGTCTGAGAGTCAGTTTTGTTTGTTCATTTGTTGCTTTGTTTCATTTGCTTTTTAAAATGATATTATTTGAATGATAGTTTAAAAGGAAAAAAAAAAGAGTGGAACTTTGTTGAAGAAATCATTGTTTTATAGAAAGCAAATCTATACAGCCTTTAGAGCATATTCTAGAAGTTAAATTTCTCTTCCAAAACTGTAAAAGTGGAGACTTACACATGTATGACAAAACTTTAGAAGAGTTAGAGCAAGATTTTAAAATTTACTGTTTAATTTTATTCTAGGGGGCTCAGTTCTGTGTTTTGACAATACATAGCATTGTATAACCACTGTTTCATCACCCCCAGAGAGCTGTTTATCAAGTTTTAAATCACCCTAAGACACATCTATGTCTATTACTATGAGCCTCTAACTATATAAAAGGTATAGATCATTGTACCATTAATATTTATATCAGTGAGTGAAAACAGTGTGGATTATTCCTAATACTTGGCCTGAAATATATTTAGCTAAATTGCCAGAATAACAAATTCAGCTTGTGTGAACTGTTGCTGTACTAAACTAAGTTTTTAAAATTCTGAATTTAAACTTTTACTGAACAATGAGACTAAACTTTATATAATTCTCAGGGTTAAAATGATAGTGTAGGTGACACAATGATAAAAGTACTTGAATTTCTTTTTTTCTTTTTTAGGCCAAATAAAGATTTTACTGTTTTATTTTTTTACAAATCAGCTTTTGTGTGATAACTTAAACTTATAAACCTTTTAGATAGCCTTTCAAAGCATCTTAACATCTTGACCACTTTTTTTTTTTCTTTTTATCCTCACCCAAGGACATTTTTGCATTTATCTTCAGATAGAGAGGGGGGAAGAGAAAGAGAAACATCGAGGTGAGAGAGACACATCGAGTGGTTGCCACCCACACAACCCCAACCAGGGCAGAGACACACTGCATCCGAGGTACGTGCCCTTAGCGGGAAATGAACCCAGGACTCTAGGGTCCGCGAGCCAACGCTCTAACCACTGAGCAAAACTGGCCAGGGCAACATCTTGACCACATTTGACTAAAATTTCACACAAATAAATATAGTAGTTGAAAACTATAAATACTAAAGGAGTAATTCTAGTAACAGTGGTTACTTGACATAAATATTTATTTAAGACATATGCAACCAAATAGGAAATCATCTTCATTTTCTTCACAAAAACAAACAGTTCTGAAAGGATAAAACTGAATTAAAATCATTTATTATGAAGAAATCTAAATTACTTTCATTTTGAAAAAAACAAAACCAGCTGTTATTTCTACCCATTTAAGTCACAGGCCCCATTATTTTGGCAATACTCTACTATTTAGTCTAAAAGACAGAACTATCTCTTTATAATAAAGAAGTCGACATTGCAAAAAGTACAGGGTATTTAAAATAAGGTACATTTTCTTTTTTTGGTTTTCCATTTTTATTAATTTTTTTTTGTTACAGATGTTTCTCCTTCCCCCTGCCAGACACCCTCCTCCCCATGCTATCCCCTACCTTCCCCAGCATTGTTGTCCTATGTCCATTGGTTACGCATATATGCATATAAGTTCTTGGGTTTATTTTCAAAAGAAAAATACTATGCAAGCTATAGTAAAATTGCATTTGTCTTGGGTAAAGTAACAATTCTTACAGTGTAAGAACATTAAGTAGTTATAAGTAATCTCATATAATTCTATCCTGCCATTAGTAACCTCCTCAAGAATTAAGTACAGTTTATAAGTGAAATTAGCCAGAGAAAGACAAGTACTATATGATTTTACTTATGTGTGGAATTTAATGAACAAATTGAACTAACAAGCAAAATAGAGACAGACTTACAGATAGAGAGCAGGTATACAGCTCTCTGGTGTGGAGGGGGATGTTGGGAAGGGCAGTGAAGGGATTGAGCAAAATAGCCAAATAAAAGAACTCATGGACCTAGACAACAGGGGTAGGTGGAGGTGGAAGAGGACATAGAGGGGAAAAATGATGATGAAAAAAATAAAATTAAAAAAACAAAACAAATCAAGAGCAGTTTCACAACAGAACAGTTCTTCTTGGAAGTGACACTTAACAGAAGTAGAGGAAAAATCATTGGTTGCTTCAGGCTCTCAAAAAATGAGTCAGGTATTGCACAGTAAATACCTTCGAGAGGTCAGTGTTTAAGGAAGTTAGTCTGAAGAAATATGTTATTCATAAGTTGGTTAAGTCTAGAAGGTTTCAAGTTTTAAAATTCTGTATAGGGAATCAATTGGAAAATATTGACATACAAATCAATATTAGGCTTTTCAAGTGGCTACAGTTTTGATAATTTAGAAAAGAATTAAAGGCAGCAAAGTGCCTAAGTTTCTATGTTATGTTTTTAAAAAAAGAAATGACTAGAAGGAAGTACTTGAATTTCTAAGTCAGTTAAAATGTTCAATTAAACTTGAAGGGGTGGCTGACATCATTCATCTTTTGTCAAAAAATGTAACAGATTTATCTGGCATACTGTGTATATATGGAGATACTTGTTTTTTACTAGGTTGGTACCATGTTTTCTTTTTTATAATATAGAAATGTATTAATATTTAAACATATTTGAACTTCTTGTGTCAAAAACTGTGAAACTTCTAAGGGAGTATTGTTTTTAAACTATAGTAACAGATATAAAAAGGTAAAGGGATAACATATTTTACCTAGCCTATCTGTTTTAGATTCTGTGCATCCTTAGAAGTGTAACTGTCATGATTTAGAGTTTTCTGATACTCCTCTGATGCTATGCAATAGAAACCTTCAAAGATTGCCTAAATATATGGACTATATAAATATATAGTCTCTCTTATTAGCTTCTTCATCTTGTGATTTGGCTAGAGTTTCAGATGGCGGAAAACATCTTTAACTTTGTATTAAACTAAAGTAAAACTTTTTCTTTGATAGTATTTTATTTATGTACCTGTTAGCTGATATTCCAAGTCTTGATAGGCAAAGCTCTGAAACTTCAGTTTTTCCTTCTAATTTCAAGTAATTTAAATAATTCAAAATAACCTGTAATGAACTAGTTTTCAGCCATCATGTCTAAGAGAATGTGGAGCAGTTTATCTTCCAAATTTCTGTTTTTAAGTCAAACCGAAAGAATTTGAATCATTTGACCATGTTTGGAACACAAAAGAAGTAGAAGATGAACTACTTAAGTTATGCATTGTTACTTTATGTTTTGTTTCTTTAGTGATTGTTTCACCATCCTATCCATACCTCTCTGCTCACGTGCCTGCTGTCGCTGCTTCTCTGCCACCACCACCACCACCTCCTCCTCTCCCTCCTTTTCCTATTGAGGTGGGAGATGCTTCAAACTTACCACCACCACCTCCACCTTATTCCTGTGATCCAAGTGGCAGTGATTTGCCTCAAGGTGAGTGGATTTTAAGATTTGGGTGAGGATTATTTAGGTCTGGGAAATTTTTTTTTTTTTTTTTTTTTTTTTTAGAGCATAACTCTGGTTAACCAATAGGAGCAAAGTGGGGGACCAAATGGAAATTGACTTGAGAGCATACTGCTAAGTAAGCAAGTAAGGAAAGGAGCAACTGAAAGCTGAGAATATCTTCTACATAATCAAGAAGTGGATGGTTGAGCTGACTCATGCTGCTGATTTTTGGTAGCTACATGTCTGCCTTGGAGGAAATTCTCAACTGGATCTCTTTCATCTCCCAACTATTCTTCTTGAAATGCAGGAGCCAATACAAAATTTTCTCCATTTTCTTAAATTCTTACCACAAATATATGAAATTGATACAATCTTTGACATTTAATATTTAGGATTCCAACTAAATTTTGAAGACTTGCAAGAAGTTTTTTGTTTTTTGTTTTCCCAGCCATGTGTTTTTTTTTCATAATTAAACTAAGTAGCTTTCCACTGACTGTTCTTTTTATCCCTCTGTGTGGCAGTGTTTCTTTAAATCCCCATGCTATTTAAAGTGGCAATTGTAGTTGCAAGTTGTTTGTAGCTTATTCATACTTTCTTTGCTGGAACAGTCTCTTGATTTTTTCTAGCTGCTTCTCTTTTATTTTGTTGGTTGTTTTTTTTTCCAGCCACTCCTAAGGTAGTCACCAAGATCATCTTAAACTCCATTCTGTTCTTTTTGTCTACCTTAAAATTTCACTATCACCTTTATGTAGATGATTCATAAATCTATCTAACCCTGGCCTTAGAAGTTTCAGATTCTTGTCTCTAGCTACTTGGTAGACATTTTCACTTGGCTTTCTTACTTTCACTTAGAACCCAATCTGACTAGAATGAAAGTCCTCGTCTTTATCTCCTTTCTTTTCTCCAGACCATGCAAAATACTAACTCTTTTGATTTCCTATTTGTTAACAGTATATCATGTATAAGTACTTCATTTCTTTTTCTGGCTGAATAATATTCCATTGTATGGACACACCACATTTTATTATCTGTTAGTTGATAGAAATTTGGGTTGTTTCCATTTTTTTGCTATTGTGAATAATACTACTATGGATATATTTATGCAAGTTTTGTATACATGTATGTATATGCCAAGGAATGGAATCCCCATATTATTTAAAGTGGCAATAAATATATGTATCAGAAGTCTCCAACTTAAGAAGGGAGAGTTTTCTGATAGTTAATTTGTTAGAGGAACTCAAATTATATTATTTATAAATAAGAGTATATATGGATCCCAGGTCAATCAGTAAAAATATATTTAGAGATACATTTGGAATACTAAGACTATTCCCTCTTCCCCCATACATGTAGTTTATGTTCATTTGTGAAATATTTTAAATAAGTTCTATATCTGGAGAAATTTTTATCACCTTAGGATTTAACTTATTTGGAGTTACCCTGCTCATTACCTCCTCTTTTTGGAGTTTTACTGGTGGTTAGTCATGTTAACTAAAAATGAAATGAATTATTTCATAAGTGCTAGTAATCTCAATAGGCATCACTTATTTCAGTATTAGTAGAGCATTTAGGTGGTACTATGTAGTAGCTCCATTAACTATATTAAAGTAAAATTTTAGTCATGACGAACAAGAAAAATGCCTTTACAGGATTCTTCTTAAATATTAACAGAGTGGCATTCCTGTAACATTTGCTAATATTAAGAAAAGAAGTAAAGTATATATTTGGTGATTAAACCTTGTATCAGAAAATGATCTTATCTGTAGTGGTAGATAAATGGTCATTTACTGTAAGGTAGAATTTAGCAAGGTGTTGATGAGGGAAGACTACATTAGTTATCTACCTTAATACTTACACAGCAAAGCTTTTAAGTGGTAGTTCTAATTGTTTATATCATCTAGTCACTAAAATTCAAATTTTTAATTTTAGATACAAAAGTTTTGCAGTACTATTTCAATCTGGGATTGCAGGTAAGAGTCCTGTTAAAAATGCTTTGATAAACTCTTTATTCAAAATACAGTATAAGCTATTTTCACAATCAGATTCTTGAACTTTCAGAGTCAAGAATATTGTGAGCGCCTTAAAAGTTTTATTTCTGTCTTTATAAAATATCTCTGAAGATGATATAGGTCACTTTTCAGCATTAATCTCGCAGTACTTCAGTTACTGTTGTAAAATAGTTTTTAAATTGTGGTGGATGGAGACGCTAAGCAGCACAACTTTAGCACATATTGGCCTCCATATTTAACATCATGTACCAACACTTCAGTTTTTCTTTCTCGAAATAATTGGATTATTTATCCTGCTTATTTAGAACTTTTTTTCATTTAATTTATTTATTTTTGTTACAGATGCTTCTCCTTTTTCCCCACTGATAACCCCCTTCCCCACCCTTCCCGTCCTGTCCCCAGCTTTGTTGTCCATGTCCATTGTTCATGCATACATGCACATAAATTCTCTGCTTTATCTCCCCCCCAACCCTCTCTTCTGGGGATTGTCAGTCTGTACCCTACTTCCACAACTCTGGAACTAACCCTTCCTCAGACTGTTATGTTCATTATATTCCACAAATAAGTGAGATCATGTGATATTTGTCTTTCTCTGCTTGGCTTGTTTCGCTTAGGATAATACTTTCCAGGTCCCTCCATGTTGTCACAAAGGATAAGAGATCTTTCTTTCTTACACCTGCATAGTACACCATTGTGTACATGTACCACAGCTTTTTTATCCATTCATGTACTGATGGACATTTGGGCTGTTTCCAGATCTTAGCTATTATAGAGAGTGCTGCTACAAACATGGGGGTACATATATTTTTTTCTGACTGGTGTTTCTTAAGGTATATTCCTAGAAGTGGGATCACTGGATTTTGACAGTTCAATTTTAATTTTTTGAGGTAATATCATAGTGTTTTCCACAGTGGCTGCACCAGTCTGCATTCCCACCAGCAGTGTATTAGAGTCCCCTGTTCTCCACACCCTCGCCAACAGTTGTGGTTTGATGATCTATGAGAAATTTTTCTTGTTTCTTGAGGTATGGCTATAGTGCTATTGAACTTCCCTCTGGGAACTGTTTTCACTGCATTCCCATAGATTTTGTGTTGTTTTGTGTTTATTTTCATTGGATTCCAGGAACTCTGTAATTTCTTCCTTGATCTCCATGGTAACCCATTCATTATTCAATAACATGCTATTTAGCCTCCATCTTTTCAAATGTCTTGGCATGTTCTTGTTGCAGTTGATTTCTAGTTGCATGCCATTGTGATCTGAGAAGATGGTTGATATGATTTCAATCTTCTTGAACTTTTAGAGACTTAGTTTGTTTCCCGACATGTGGTCTATCTTTGAGAATGTCCCATATGCACTTGAGAAGCATGTTAATTCTGCAGTTTTGGGGTGTAATTCTCTTTTGATATCTATTAAATTCTTTTGCTCTAGTGCTTCATTTAGAGTCTGTGTTTCCTTGTTAATTTTTTATGTAGAAGATATATCCAGTGATGTCAGTGGGGTGTTGAATCCCCTGCTACGCTTGTATCGCTGTCGATTTCTCCTTTGAAGTCCTCCAGATTTTTAATATATGTTGGTGCTCCTATATTGGGTGCATATATGTTTACCAAGGTTATATCTTCCTGTTGGACAGATCCTTTCAATATTATGTAGTGGCCTTCTTTGTCTCTAGTTATGGTCTTCATTTTGAAATCTACTTTATCAGATATGATTATTGCTACCCCAGCTTTTTTTTTGCTTTCCATTTGCTTGAAAGATATTTTTCCTTCCCTTTCTTTCAACATATGTGCATATTTTGTTGTGAGGTGGGTCTCTTGTAAACAACATATATGTGAGTCATGCTTTCTTATCCAGTCAGCCACTCTGTGTGTTTTTATCGGAGCATTCAACCATTTACATTTAAGGTGATTATTGATATGTACTTATTGATTGTCATTTTTGTTTAGTGTGGTTCTATTTTTCTTCCTATTTCTTCTACTCATTACAGCAGTCCTTTTAGCATATCTTACAGTGCTGGTTTGGTGTTAATATATTCCCTTAGCCTTGGTTTGTCTGGAAAGCTCTTTATTTTACCTTCTATTTTGAATGATAGCCTTGCTGGGTAGAGTAGTCTTGGATTCAGATCCTTGTTTTTCATGACCTTGATTACTTCATGCCACTCCCTTCTGGCCTGTAGTGTTTCTGTTGAGAAGTCAGCTGAGAGCCTTATGGGGTTTCCTTTGTAGGTAACCTGTTGCTTTTCTCTTGCTGCTTTTAGGATTCTCTCTTTGTCTTTAATTTTTGGCAGTGTGATTACTATGTGTCTTGGTGTGGGCCTGTTTTGGTTCTTCTTACTTGGGGCTCTCTGTGCTTCTTTAACTTGAATGCCTTCTTCCCTCCCCAAATTAGGAAAGTTTTCTCTCACTATTTCTTCAAATATATTCTCTAACCCTTGCCCATTTTCTTCTTCTTCGGGGACTCCTACGATGCAAATGTTATTACGTTTCCAGTTGTCTCACTGTTCTGTTAAGCTATCTTTCTGCTTTTTAATTATTTTTTCCTTTTGGTTTTCTGATTGGTTGATTTTTTTTCTACCCTGTCTTCTAATTCACTGATCCTGTCCTCAGCTTCCTCTACTCTGCTGGTTAGTCCTTCCAATGTGTTCTTAATTTCTGCTATGTCATTCTTCCTATCCACTTGGCTGGTTTTTAATGTTTCTATATCTTTACTGATGGTGGTGATATCCTTACTCATGTTGTATACCTTCTTCAAGATCATGGCTCTGAACTCTACCTCTGATAATTTCCTTAGCTGCATTTCATTGATTTCATCTTTGATAGAGTTCTCTTGTTCTTTTTGGGGGGATTTGTTTCTTTGTTTCACCATTTTGGCTATCTCAGTGGGTTTTGGAGCCTGCCAAATTTTCCCTGTGGGTGTTAGTGTTCTGCTGTTTGTGGCTCCCTCTACTGGGTTTGCATGAGCCTGGGTGGGCCCAAGTTAAAACATCACTGTGAGGTCTTGCTTTCCTAGGTCGATTTGCATGCCCAGGAAAGGTTCCGTTTTTCTCTAGCTTTTTCCTGGTAGCTAGTAGTCTCAGTTACTCAATGCCTTGGAATGTAGCCCTGGTGTTCTTCCTAAGAGGATTTCCAGAGTATGGGATAGATCCTGGTTGTTAATGAGCCTCAATTTTTAATTTCTTTGCCTCACCTGGGAAAAGCTGAATGTTTGAGGGGGGGCAGCTGCTGCTTTTTCCCACAGCTCAGGGAAGGAGCACACTGGTCGCCGTCCTTTGTGGCTGAAACTCAGGAAAAACTCTGAGTGCCCTCCAAATCCCAGGTGTCCCCACCGAGTTCCAGCCCAGTCCGCCTTCCCTCTACCGTAGCCCCCAGGTGAGTGGCTGTGGCTATTTTAGTGCTCGCTCATGGCTCTCTGTGCTGTGGAGTGGGCTTGGTCTTTATTCCCCAAGGGCGCTGCTCACAGCTAAGACTGCTGCTTTCCTTGGGCTCCTAGCCTGCCACATTTTCATGCCTCTGCAGATGCTACCAGAGTCCCTGGTTATATGGTCCCGTCCTGCTACTTTTCTGTTGCTTTTTTCTTAGGATTTGTCTTTATGTTAGTTGTAATTCCCTTTTGGTCCTGGAAGATCATCTGCCTGGCTTGTATTCACTCCGCCTCCTTTTTCACATCCCCTAAGCCTATCTTGTGCGCAGCTGGGTGGCACAGGCCTTTCTGGTGCTCCTGCAACCTGCAGGTCCCTTGGATAACTGGATCATCCAGTCCCTCTGGGGACCCGGCTATATGTCTCTTATGGTCTGCTGGGTCGCACAGGCCTCTCTGATGCTTCAGCACCTGCAGGTTCGGAGGGAAACTGTATGGCACAGTCCCTGCTGCGTCGCGATGGCCTCTCTGGTGCTTCAGCACCCCGCAGGTACCGCGAGTAACTGGATCACACAGTTGCTGCTGGGTTGCACAGGCCTTGCTGGTGCCCCCCACACTCTGCAGCTTCCGTGGGTAGGCAGCTGGATGGCACCGGTCTCTCTTGGGCTCTGGCTTCCCACTGCTCTTGTGAGCTGCTGAACCACACAGGTGTCTGTGGATCCCCAGGTCCAGCCGCTGGCAGCTAGGGAGTGCTGCTGCCCCATGGGCCTCAACTCCTGCTCAGCTTTTGCTGTAGTTTTTGGGGATGGGTCTCTGCTGCTAGTCTGTGCTTCTCTTTCCTGGGAATGGATGTCTGCTCTGTTGCTGGGGGTATATCTGGACTCTGATGGGGCTGCTACTATAGGGGATGGTGCTGGGCTCCAGGCTGTCCGCGACTTCGGAGACCGGCACCTTGGGAGCTCCACTACTGTGCACAGGTCTGTGTTGACAGAGTATCCACTGGTGCGATGGTGCCAGGTGTGCTGGTGGGCTCAGTTTGCTGGGCCCTAGCCGCTCACACTGCCTCCTCCCAGGGAAGACCAGGGATCTTCCAAAATGGTGGGACCTCCCCGCAGCACAGGGAGAAGTGGCCTGAAGATCTGCTTACAGCCATAGCTGGCTGCTCCTGTGTACAGCACAGGAACCTTCTGCTCAGTGTCTCTGCACTGCACAAATTTTGTTGTCTACCTTCACGTCCACTCACACTCTCTCTCACACTCACCCTACCTTTCGTCCTGCCAGCCATCATCTTTGCGTGTTGCAAAAGTTTTTCTTTTCCTTTTTTTTTTTGGTATGTGCTCCTTGCTGGAACCAAACTTGGGACTCTCTGGTCCACTGGCCGATGCTCCAATAGCCGAGCCAAATCGGCCAGGGCCATTTAGAACATTTTTATGGCCATTTCTGCATTCCATGTGAAAAGTAATTTGACAAATTCAGACATTTAGAGATCTGTATTATTTTTAAGCATTCATGTGTTCATAGATATTTGCTAAGCACTTGAATTTTGCCACTTCCCTGAGTTGTATAAGGTGGATATTGACAAGTACCTTAATATCACTTAAAGATGTCTCGGATTTCAGGTAGAAGCCCTTTTTTTTTTCCTCAGGCATCATTTTCACCCAGAAATACACTAGTCTTCTGATGTAACAAAATGGTATATTTTCTGAAAAGTAATGATTCATCTTAATATTTGGCAGATAGTAAACTAGATAGTCTCCTGGGTAATGCTCAGATCAGTTCATATTCCCAGACACTGATTTCCTTAAAACCTTGGACATACAGTTTCCAGAAAATTATCTTCCCTAACTGCCACACATTTATAAATTAAGATTAGTGGAGTGGGTTTTTATTCATTGAGACTATATTTCATAAAAGCAATTTCAAGAATTGAAAAAATAAATTTCTTGCCCCTTCAGTGATGTTAGTTTATTTTAGTCACATGTGGAAACGTTCTAATTAAGGCTGAGGCATTTAAAAGTATTCCTCCTGCATTTTTTTTTTTCCTCACCAGAGGACACTTTTCCATTTTTTGTTCAGGTAGAGTGGGAGGGAGAGAGAGGAACAGAGAGAGAGAGAGAAACATCGACGTGAAAGGGACACATCGAGTGGCTGCCACCCGCACAACCGACCAGGGCCGGGGACAAACTGCAACCGAGGTACATGCCCTTAGCGGGAACCGAACCCGGGTCTCTCAGGACCGCAGGCCAATGCTCTAACCGCTGAGCCAAACCGGCCAGGGCTCCTCCTGCATTTTTAACATCATGGGAATACAAGGAAATGCAAAAGAATATTTTAAAGAAAACCAAAATCACCTGTACATCCATTTTATACTTTGGTACATTTTTTTTTTCAGTTTATTTTACAAAATATGAACTATGCTATGTAATTTTGTAAATTTTTAAGTTAATAATATGAACATTTTAAAAAATATTTGATAGCTTGATTTTTTATTGTTGCCTGTATTTTGTTTCATCATGGATATATCATAATTCATTCATCTAGTTCTCTGTTGATAAATATTTATGTTGTTTAATGTGTTTTAAAATAATGCTATAAGCCCTGGCCGGTTTGGCTCAGTGGTTGGAGCGTCGGCCTGTGGTCTAGAGAGACCCGGGTTCGGTTCCCGCTAAGGGTGTGTACCTCGGTTGCAGTTTGTCCCGGCCCTGGGTGGTTGTGCGTCTGGCAGCCACTCGATGTGTCCCTTTCACGTCGATGTCTCTGTCTCTGTCTCTCTCTCTCTCTCTCTTTCTCTCTCTCTTCCTTCCTCTCTCTCCTTCCCACTCTATCTGAACAAAAAATGGAAAAATGTCCTCGGGTGAGGATAAAAATAAATAAATAAAATAATGCTATAAAAGGCATCTCTGTATACATGTCATTGCGTATATCTCTAATTTCCTTCAGGTGCTCTCCTAAAAGAATTTTGAAGTTAAAATATGAAATACAGATGCTGCAGAAGATCTTGAAAGTGTAATAGACAATAGGTTTTCTAAATGTATCTTTTAGGTCACAAAAATCATTGTTACCTTACTTGAAAATTATGGCCCAACTTTTATTTTTTTTTAAGTGTTTGTTTATTTTTTCCCTTTCTTGCCCAAGTGCTATCACCACAACTACTGGCACTCCATGGTCTGTGTGCCACAGATACATCAGCAGCAGCTTCATGTAGAGAATTATCCCATCTGTAGTGAGACACCTACTCTGGTAGATCAGACCATTCCTCAGTTGTACAGTGAGGTAGAGAGACAAGATGGCACACAGGCAGAAGCATCAGCAAATGGTGAGTATGTAATGAGATTGCCTGCAAGAAAGACAGTTGGATTTTTTGTGTGTTTAATAATGGCCTTCAAATATTGTATTAGTGCCAAATACTAGACCAATGTTTCTCAAAGGGTAGGCCACGGTGTCCCTCAGAACTTCTGAAGGGATCCATGAGGCCAGAACTATTCATCATATTATGTAGATTTACTTTGTCCCTTTCACTGTGTTACATCTGCATTGAGAGTGCAAAAATCAGAGGTGGGTAAAACTGCTGACACGTAATCACAAGTCAAGGCAGGGGCACCAAACTATGTTAGTAATCAATGACTTCCTTACTGCCACACACTCATAATAGAAAAATGCCAATTTTATTTACTTTTTTGTTTCATCAAAGATGTTCTTTTTTTTGTTTTACTAAATATTTGTCTTTGAATAATTGTACTTAATTTTCTGTGTGACAAAACTGTGGGAAGCATTCATTAGACACTTTGCATACTGAAATATGTTGATTAACTTAGAAAAAATGATTTTTGAGGTTGACTTCCGAGATAAACTAGCTAATTTTTTTCATGTAACAATATTTTTGCTTGAAAGAATAATAGACAAACAATGGTTATTCAAACTGGGTGATCTGGCACATTTTCTCAAATGAACAACATGAGCCTGCCACTTCAAGAAAAACAACTGGTAATATTTGTTGTCAAAGATAAAAATTTCAGCTTTCAAATAAAAGTTAAAATTTTGGAAAACTTGTATCTGCCACCCTGACCTTAACAACTTTCCAATATTTAAATGAGACTGTTAATGAATGTGGTTTTCTACATTGTGTAATGAAATGCGTTGGTATTTGGAAACTCATAGACAAAGCAACCATTCTTATGGTCTCAAACTGCATAACTCAGTGAAATAATATTTTCCCAGTTACCTGTGTATGATTTTATAAAAGATCTATTCAGAATACAAGATAAAACTGTATTTTAATATTAACAAAGCATGAGAAATTTACATTGCTATTGATATTTAAGAAACTACTACTTACCTAGTTTTGTTGTAGCATCAAAGATCTACAATTATCGGAAAAGGCTAGTTATTAAAAAATTTCTCTCTTTTCCAAATACATATCTGTATGAAGCCAGATTTTCTTCATATACTTCAATCAAAACAACAAGTCATAATAGATTAAATACAGAGGCAGATATGAGAATCCATCTGTTTTCTATTAAGGCACACAGTAGAGATTTGTACAAGTGTGAAACAGTGCCACAAGTGTGAAAACAGTGACAGTTTTCTTTTGTTTGGAAAAATAAACTCATTTTGCATAAAGATTTTGTGTTAACATAAAGGGCTTATTTTCACATGAATTAATATTTCTCAGTTTAATTCCTAATATGGTGAATATTGATAGATATAAGCCACATAAACAAAAGCTATTTGGGATCCTCAGTCCTTAAGAGTGTAAAGAGATCTCAACACCAGAAAGTTTGAGACCATAAGGATGGTTGCTTTTGTCTATGAGTTCACAGTATAATATAGATGGGGAGCATTTTGAAAGATTTGGAATAGGATCTTTGGACGACCGTTCTTAGAAAGAATTAGCAGGGGGTAAGAAGAAATGATGTGGACTAGCCTTACCAATTTTTTTCCCTTTCCAGCACTGCTACTTGATGGTTGTGATCTTGGCTAAGTTACTTATCCTCCCTAAGTCTGATTATCAGTAAAATAAGAAATATCTGACTTGCCAGGGTTGTTATAAGAACTAAAAGAGACGTTACATATAAGTATCCTGTGCCTGGTGCATGTGAAGAATGTGAATTTCCTAATCTCGCCTCCCCTTTTTAAAGCATATTAGTGGTTTTGGAATATTAGCACAATAGAATCTTACTCCTAGTATGGTGGTGTGATGTGGCCCCTGGTAATAACAATTAATGTATCAACCTTTATTGCATTTTTGTACCAGATACCTTTTATTTGTAGTAAACCACGATACACTGGCGGTCTTAATTTCAGAATGAGCTAATCTAAGGACTCCTTTTTGTTTACATTTATATAGTCACTATAGCAAGGTCACAACAGCATCTATTTTCACTGAAACAGACTCCTGGTAGCAAAACTGCTGTTAAAATTATGCTAGGATATTATTGTCATTCAAGAGATGACACTTACATGTTTAAATGCTCTTCAGAACTATACCTTCAAGTGTAGACCAGGCTGAATAGACACTGACTTAATTGCTAAAGTAAAACAAACTAGTTATTTGGATGGTATGTGTTATATTGAAAAACTATTGGATAACTTAATTGTGACCAACTCTTATTAGAACTTAACTGACTTAGAAGGATTCTCATGAATGTTTCTTTATGTATTTAGTCAATTGGTGCCAAAATCATCTCAGAAAGATAGCTATCACTAAGTAGAAAACATTTGATACACATGCACATGTATGTGTATAATTTTTTTAAATTAGTAAATGTTCATATAATCTTTTAGTATTCTGTTTTAGTCACATTTCATACATAAAGTATTTCTACTGCAATTGCTCTGATCTTTCCTATAGTTAGTGCTAATTTCATTTTTACCTGTAAAAACATTCATTTATATTGGTGTTTAGTGAATCTTTGTATATAACGTGTACGACATGCATTCTTTGTTTCAGGTACTTTTCCAAATGCTGACCCTGCATCTGTCCCTCATGGAGCAGTTTATTATCCAGTTATGTCAGATCCCTGTGGGCAGCCACCTTTGCCGGGTTTTGATTCCTGCCTTCCCATTGTGCCCGAGTATTCCTATGTTGCCCCCTGGCACCCCATTGGTGCAGCATATGGTGGTTCTCCACAAATTCATGGTGCTATGAATCCTGGGCCAGTTGGCTATATTGCTTCACCTCCCTCAGCTTCTCATTATGCACCTCGGAATATGTAAGATTCAGCAGTAATATATATTCTTGCACTGCCATTTTTCTTGCTGTTTTGATTTTTTAAAAACTGTTTTATGTTACTGTTTAAGTGATTTAGGTGGTTAGAGTGGTTACTGTTATATCCATCTTTAAGATTATCTCATCTTTTGGTTTAAAATAATACTTTAAAATAAAGGAATATTATTTTGGGTTGTGAATAAGGAAATTTAGGTGACTGTACAACTAGCTCCATGTTGAGCATACTTAGTTGTATTCAGCTGTCTTCCTGTCAGCCAGTTTGTCAGTTGATAAAAGGAATAAGTCACACGAACTATTTCCTTGGTTTAGATGTCACACATCACATTAAACTGCAGAATTCAATTAACTTTCACTTTTCTCTAGAAAATAAAACAAAACCAAGAGCATTTGTTTCTGGTTAACTAACAATATTAAATGAGAGCTCTTCAGGTTTCTTAAGAACTGACTGAACTGAGTTGCGTTCTGCGATATTAATCAGTTTTGAAAGCACATGGTGCTCTGCTTTAGATTTATCCCTTGTGCTATTGTTTAATACTGGATTTGTGTAACTTACTGCACAGTATTGCATTGGTGTCCTTTGCACAATTAGCGGTAAATAAAAATTGGCATTTAAAATTGCTAAAATGAGTGGGATTTTTTTTTGTTTCTGCTTTTTCATAATAACAAAGAGTACCAGGTATTTGATTGTTTTAATGTTTTTCCCCTGATATTTTGGTTGTAAAATCATGTGAATTTATAGCATGAACTGGTGAGGTCAGTTGAAATGTTATTTAATCTTAAGGCATTATAAATGCATACTACAATATTTAGTTCTTTTCCCTTGAGAGTGACCCTTTTTAGGTTGTATTTGTTTTTTTTTCTTTAAATCTCTTCACTTCCTTATGGAACTTGAATCTAGACTTACTTTCTCATTGTCTATACTTCCGGTAGTTGTCAAATCTTTCCCTTTTTGTTTTTAGACTTACCTTGTATCTCTCCAGGCCCGCCTGGTCTCTAACTTTCTGTGAGACATATTTCATCAGCGTTTCTATCTTCTCCCTTTCATCTACCTAAAGAATACAAGATTTTCTGTATTCATCAGTTCTCCTCTGAGGGGTAATTCATCATGAATGCTTTGTTGTAGCTCAACTGACAAACAACTATTTTTAAAGTGTTCTTTCATTGCCACAAAACCTATCTATATTACCTTTTTGTTTTTTTTAAATATTTTTCTTTATTGATTTTAGAGAGAGAGGAAGGAAGAGGGAGAGAGAAACATCGATGAGAGAGAACATCGATTAGCTTCCTCCTGCATGCCCCGCACTGGGTATCGGGCCCACAACCTGGGCATTAGCCCTGACCAGGAATTGAACCGGTAACCTCTTGGTGTACGCATTAGCACTCAACCACTGAGCCACACTGGCTGGGCTATATTGCCTTTTTAATTGGTTATTCATGTGTGTGAATCAGTTTGTCCTCTCTGACCTTCAGCTATACTCCAGGCCAAAATACCTCAGAACAGGAAGTATTTGAACAGTTGAAAGAATTGGAATGTCATCCATTGTAAAAGAAGACATTCTGTCTTCAAAGTACTCTTCTCAAAATGGTTTATATTAATGAGTTCCAAATCATTGCACTATTTAAGGCTTCTGCTTCATAATAGACACCGAACTGGTTTTCTAAGTGCTTGCTCTACAAGTTTGCACCTGACAACTTTAGTAGAAAGAGATGAACAATGGTGTGCTGATCTTTCTAACAACTTAACTCTATGTGTTAATGTTTTATCTTCTCTACTAACCTCCTAGGTTTTCAGTTTGTGCAGTCTACAAATTGTTTTATGTTTTAAGTAAAGATTTATTTCAGTCTAGCTTAAAACATGGAGCAAACCTACCTTATGCAACATTTTTCAAACTTGCTAACATTTCTGAAATATATGTAACTCACAGCAAGTGATACTTCTGTATCTTCAACCCTTGTCAGTGGTTGACTAAATAGCTTCTAAGTGGTGTTTTAGAAGATTGTAGTCTATCTTGAGAATGTGGGTCTAGAAATTGTCTGGTTTTGAGACAAGCACATTTGCCTTAGGTTTCTAGTTGATTTGTTTTTATTTTAAATTTGTAAGTTGCTGCCTTCCCTTGAGTTCCATTACTAATTCAGTTCAATGAGATGCTTGTTATTAACTTAAACTGAGATTAATGATCAACCTAATTGTCATTGTTACTGGTGTTGAAGTCACCAGTATTTATGGTCTGTTTAAATCATACAGGTATAGTCTACTTATTCATGTATTGCTAACAATATTCTCTAAGAAATAATCAAGGAATGTACCCTGATCTGCTATTGTTTTGGGGGTTGGACTGGTGAAGTTAACCTGTTCTGCTGCAGAAGTTTACATTGTCTTTTGAAGTCATCTTCCAGATAAAAAGGAAGTGGTTTTTTCTGGTAATAATGAAAAGCTTAAGATTTAACATGTTTATCAACCTATTTTGTAAACACAGTGCTGGACTTCTTTTTACATATTACCTCTTTATTTGACCTTGATGTTACAAAAGACAAACTTGCCTTTCCTCTGATGTTATAACCAAATTTCATCTATTTAGAATTGTTGGGGGAAAGAAGTTACAGTATAAAGGCACTGTGGTTAGTTCTGGACCCTTTACACCCCCTTTCTGAGATAAATTTGGGCACAGTAAAGGTAGAAAGCTGAATTGTTTCCATAGTGAAGGAAAACTATTAGAATTCATTTTTATGCCATGTATATTTATTCTCAAAACTAATTGTGTTTTTTTTTCCTTGATTAAGAACAGATGAAAATATTGAATCTGTTTTACTGTTGAAATTCAATACCTGTGCATTTAAAACATCCTTCATTTCTTTGCAGCCTATAATCAAGGCATAACCTTTTAATTAGCATTGGAAATAAAAGTAAAAACAAACCAGGATTTTTATGTGAACACCAGACATTCAGAACTTAATTCAAACATAAATCTCCATGAATATTGAAATAGTCCATTGGAGAAGAGTGGTGTGTGTACTTAATCTAATCTATACTTTAAATCTGGGACAGACTTTATTTATTTTACATGAAACCTCTTTGCAGAGCCATTTACATTTCCATTTATAACTAAGAATTCAGGAGAATTAATATAGCAAAAGACAACCTCTTGTTTCTCTCCATCTTACCTAGAATGGTAAGCTTCAGTTGGAGCAACTTGATTCAGAACACTTGTCTTCCCCTGCCTCAATTATCAAAGGCAGTTTCAGGGATGTGTGGCGAGATGTAGGTTCAGGAAGCTTCAGTTGGACCGGACTTTAGGTACTTAACTACTGTGGGAATAAAACTGCATTAGAATGAAAAACCTGGGTATTATGCCTCAGAATAATCTGGGAGGGGGTGTGAGGTTTATAAATGAAAGATTAGCTGCATGTTAATAACTTGAATTTTATAACTGTTGAAACTTGGATTCATTATGCTATTCTATTTTTTTGTGTGAAAATTTTCAATATAGTTAAAAACTCCATTTGTAACTGGCCATCTGTAGAGTAAATGTTTGTTTATGAAGTTAGTAAGAGTGCAGGTTTTTTTTTAAAGTTTTGAATCCTGGAAAGAATTAAACACAAGGTTTTATAGAGGCTGTCTCTGAACTGGACTATTTTAAAATGAAACTCCATTCTGATCAGTTATTCCTGCATGTAAAAACCCGAGCAGTTTTCTAAAAAAACCTAGGACTGACACCCAGAGGAACCATAAAGATAAGGGGTTAATGATGGCCTTGGGGAATTTGGAGGGACCATAAAAAGAAAGAGATTAATGATTGCCCTGACCCCTGCAACTGACCCCCTCCCCTTCTCCTCTAGAGCATTCTGTATCAGCTCCTGCACCAATTAAGTGGAACCAGGAGGAATGTAGATTTTTTTTTGCTTTGAATGTAGTTTTTTCTGTTTTTTTGTTCCTATATAAGTAAAGAACAAAGGAAGCCCGGGGCTGGGATTTGGGGAGAGCCCCCCAACCCACCAGTGTAATAAAGTGCTCCTTTATAATTCGGCTGTGTGTCTCTGGTTATCTTGCTGACACGTTACAACATCTCAAAGGGTCCATAGGTAACTTGTTAAGATATCTGGAGGTTTAGAAAGCCTATAATATAGGCAACTGATTCTTAAAATTCTGTAATTCTCAAGAATATTCTCTACATGTAAAACTAAATTTTATTAAACCATGAAATTTACTCGTAGTTGAAACTAATTAAGGTAAATGAATAATTTTAGGTTTTACTACTTCACTGTTTCCCTAATAATCACCACCGCATTTGAGTTGAATTTTCTTTTTATGGCCGCCAGAGGGAAGCTTGGAAATCAGTAAATTACTGTTAAACAGGTATTTATTGTTTTTTTTTCTTGCCCCCCCCCCCCCCCCCCGTAGGTGGCTCTTGCCACTGGCTAAACATTTGGGGATGGAGTTGATTCAACAATACTAAGGTTAAACCAAATCATTTATTATTAATTCAGTCCAGTCAACGAATAAAAATGTTAAGATTTTGGCCAAATATTATTGATTAATAGTAGTGATTTATTGGTGTTATATGGGTGGTTAGTACCTTCACTTAATCAACTAGTAAATCTTTTCTTGCAAACCTTATAGCTTTTTTCCAAACTATATAATACTGGTTTTTCAAATCTTTTGCAGAATTGTAGAAAAAAAGTATCCTGATATTGGGGTACTAAAATTATAGAAAAAAAAAAAAAACTATTTCCTTGCTACTATATTAGCCAGATCAAAGTGACTATTTTCATCTTGATAAATTTTAATTATGCAAGATGTGAATAAGTTGTAGAACTCAGCTGTACAACATTGTGCCTGTAGACAACAGTACTGTATTGTATACTTACAAATCTTAACCCTGGTAGGTTTAGCTCAGCGGTTAGAGCGTCGGCCTGAGATCCAGAGAGACCTGGGTTCGGTTCCCGCTAAGGGCACATACCTCAGTTGCAGTTTGTCCCTGGCCCTGGTTGGGTCGTGCGGGTGGCAGCCACTCGATGTGTCCCTTTCACGTCAATGTTTCTCTCTCCTTAAAAATGGGAAAATGTCCTCGGGTGAGGATAAAAACAAAATCTTAAAAGGTAGATCTCATGTAAGGGTTCTTACCACAATAAAATTTATAAAAAGTTCTACCACATGTATGGCCCTTAAAAACAAAAAAAAATTATATTTAGGGTTTTTTTCATGCTTGCTTCACTAAAATTTTGTTTTAATTTTCTTTCATTCCTTTAGATCTGCCGAAACAGCTTCAACTACCCAAGAAGTTTTCCTCCTAGTTGTTTTGAAGCATGGTACAGATTTGCTTTTGTTAGCCTAGTTCTTTTGCGTTACACCATGCTTATTTTTTTTCAGTGTGTTACTATCGTTGTGGCAGAAATTTGGTCGGTGGGAGGAGACAGATGCACAAGCTCTGAAGATTAGAAAAGGGCTGTTTGATGTGCACTAGCGCTGTCCCAGTGGAGTCACCTCCACAGGCTGAGCCCCGAGCCTGGGTTCCAGCTCCCTTTTTATACATAAGCCTCCGGTATTTGGGGCTTTCTATTTATGCTGTAGTTTAGGCAGTTGGTGGATGTAAGGGAATTACATAAACCAAGGGTGGGGTCTCTGCACTGCTTAAGGGGCTGCACCTGGCTTGCCTTCTCATCCCCCCCCCATCCCTGCCTCTTGATTCTCAGCTTCAGACTTAGAGAACTTCTTGGACAGAGAATTCCCCTAGTGCCTGCTTGAAGAAGAGAGGCTAAGATCTCTCTGCTTCCTGCTGAATAGGGGCATTGAAGGGGAGGGATGCAGCAACTAGAGTTCTTCACCATCCAGAGGAGAGTAGTTGGGGGTCCTTATTTGAAACATCATTTGGAGCTTTATTGTTTCTAATTGAGAGGAAATGAAACGGTTTAGCATGTTGAGAATACAAGGGCCAAACAGGAGCACTATAAAAACCATTAAGAGAGGACCAGCTAATGGAAGTACCCAAGATGCCCAGTTCCATATGTTACTCCAGGAATTTCAAGATGCTGAAAATTCCTGTCTTTTGTAATTTGTTTCTTTAACTGCTGGGTCGTGTCTCTAACTATTCCTGATTAACATAAAAGCAACATTCCTCGTTTAAGAAGAGGTATACTTCACCCTTTTCAGCAGTCAGTAGGTATAACCCCCTTCTATTTTGTAATACTATTGCTTCTAAGGAGTCTATTTGATCCTGTAAGGCTACTAAGGATACAGAGTCCAGTGCTGGGATCAGTCCAGCAGGTGATGACCATCCATTCTACTGGCAGAGTCCTCAGGCGCTTACCATAGACCAATCAGTGGGTTTCACTGTCCTCTTAAGGGTGACCTGCAGAGGATTGTCCTGGCTGGTGGTCAGTCTCCAAGCAGGTTGGTTGTCATGTGGCAGGTGAGCTGCCTTCACCCAGGTATTCAGACCTGCAATCTTGAGTTGTCGCCCTTTCCAGGTTGGTTTGAGGGGTTCCCTTTTTCAGTCTTTTATCCAAACTTGTCCCTTGGTCTGTGGGGGTATACAGTTATTCCCAGGGAAATGGGTATTCTATCGGTTACCCACTTATGTACCTCAAGAATGTTTTTTTTTTCTAGTCAGTGCGGGAGGTCTCCCGTATGAGATTTCAAAAGAAGGGAACCCTATCTTTGCCCTAGGGGTACAGCATACTCGCAGGAGAGCTAGGGGCAGTATATCAGTCCAGGGCAGGTTGGTTTCTTGACATAGTTTTTCCATATTCTGCCTAGGGGTCTGATTCACATGTTCTACTTTTCCTGAGCTCTACGGCCGATAGACCGTGTGCAAATTCCATTGGATGCCTAAAGTTTTACTACTTGCTGTACTATTTCTGCTACAAAGGCTGGGCCATTGTCAGTGGTATTCCATATCTCGGGATGATGTCTCTTAGTAGAGCTTTGGTTCTCTTGCCTTTTTCATACGTGTAGAGTAAGCTTCAACCTAGCCCAAGAAAGTACAGATGAAAACCAGGAGATATTTATTTCCTCCATTGGGTCCCATTTCTAAGAAGTCTACCTCTAGATCTTCAAAGGGTGCTTGGCCGCAGCGCTGGATCCTGGTGGGGCATTGTCTGGCATTATTTTGAACACAGAGGAGACAGCGCTGTGAGACTGAGGCACAGAGGGATGGAAGTCGAGCAATCAGGTAGTACTGGCTTAATAAAGCTTCTAGGGTGGTGGTGTTTATTTTTTACAGATGGGTGAGTTCATGTTGGAGGGCTAAGTGATGGGTTAATTATTCTGTCATGTAGATTCTGTGGCTGGGAGTATCCACCATTCTTCATTATATTTCCTCCCTCTGTTGTGCCCATTTTTCTTTCTAGGCCGTGTGCTGTCCCAGGCGGAGAACTGCACACTGCCCCCACAGCTCAGAGAGCAGTTGCCCCAGCATCCCTAAGGACCCCAGCCACCAGCCTATGGGATCTTAAAGCCCTGGAGCTGGTCCACATGGAGCCAGCGGCCACCCGTGCAGGCCTGTGAAGGCCTACATGGGGTGTCATCGGCCCACAGTGAATGATTGGTTTGGCACATGGCATGACCACTGAGATGCCCAGAGCACCAGAGGGCAGCACAGGGTGGTAGCAGCTGCAGACAGTATTGTGAATCAGGCCCAAAGGTCAGCTGGCACTGGTGGTCTGCATCATAGACTTTGCCAGGGAAAGTTGTAGGCAGATGCTGGGGAGCCTCTGGCTTGTCTAAGAAACAGTGCCTGTGGCCATTGTCCAGGAAGTTTGAGATAAAGTGGGCACTGCAGGGGGCCAGAGCTCCTTGGGATCCATGTGAGTCATCACAGGAGCCATGACATGACGAGAGGCGCTCCCAGGCCCGTTCAGACCAACACATGTAGCACAGCTCTGAGCGAGGTCACACATGGTGCTCACGTCAGCCATGCCCAGGGTGCCACAGGTAGAGACCCCACACAGGTCCTGATGGGTAAACAGCAAAGTGATTTGGGTTTGAGTCCTTAGGGGTGTTGAGTTTTTGTTGCCAGGCACAGAAGCTGTGTAGGGTCTGGGCGGCACTGGGTCTCACCTGAGGCCCTTCCTCTCCTGGCCCTAGAACCACTAGCCAAGTCACACCAAGCTGACAGGGTTGTGGATGCTTGGATGCTTGACCATGAGCAGGTAGTGCTTCAGCAGTGTGCTGTGAAATGCTGCCATCTTGTCAACTGCTACCTCCAGGGTCTTCACGAATCTACTCAGGGAAGCAAAGTGCTTGGCTCTTCGGGGGCTGGGCCTGGGGTTCCCAGGAGGAGTCTTGATGCTACACATGGGGCCCTGGCCGCTGGAGGCACTCTTCTGGTGTAGGATGTGAGCCCAAGTGCCCCCTGCAGAATTAAGGGTGCCTCCTTCCGGGGGCTGGATGTGGAGTTTGGTCCCCCGATACTGCAGCACCCCTAACAGGGCTCCCTCATTCCAGTGAAGAGATGCCACTGACTCTGGATCTCCTTTGATGGTGCCAGTGAGGTAGATGCCCAGCTTTGCCCCACCCAGCAGCTCAGGCGCCTGGCCCAGGTACTGCACTGTCAGCCCCTTGACCCACATGCCAGGGTCTTGCCCCAACTCTAGCAGCAGTGTCTCCCCCAAGGCAGGCAAAAGGTACCACAGCCTAGCAGGGATGTTAAAACCAGGCAGGATGCTGCTGTTGAGTTTCTCTGGAAACACTATCTCCTCCTCCTGGGGGAGGGTGCCGACCAGCCTGCCTCAACCAGGTAAATTTGCTTTGAAAGGTAATCTACAGGTCTCTTCCAAGGCCCAAATTCCTGTGTTAGGACTCCCAGGGCTATTATGTTTTTTTCATGCACGAACAAGTTGAAGTTCAGTAATATATCTGGAAGTCCTAAGGCTGGTGCCTCCATGAGCTTGGTCTTTATAATTGTAAATGCTTTCTCTTGATTGGGGCCCCAGACATGGAGTGCCCTTTCTTCTTTTAGGGCCTCATATAAGGGTTCTGCCAGTTCAGAAAATCTGGGTATCCATATTTGATAGAACCCTGCTGCTCCCAGGAATTCTTGAATCTGTTGACAGAAAGTGGGAACCGGAATAGCACAGACTACCTGTTTTATTTTGGCCCCTAGCCTTTGTTTTCTTGGGTGATCTTGAAAGCTAAGTCTGGCTTATAGTGACTGGGTGGAGCAGAAGTTCCTCGTTTTTCTCGCTGGCATTTGGGGCATTCATTTTTTCGCTGCCTGCATGCTCCCCATTGGGGATGGGGCTTACAACCTGGGCATGTGCCGTGACTGGGAATCAAACTTCTTGGTTCATGGGTCGATGCTGAACCACTGAGCCACACTAGCCAGGCTGAGGGAAGGAGAGAGGCCAGCAGTAACAGGAGCAGCCACACTAGCCCAGGCAGGGAAGATCACAGTGAGGAGCAGCAGACGGGGTTGGGCTCCCTACAGCCAGCTGTTCATCCAGGCCCTCCTGGGATATGGGTCCAGCTAGGACATGGCAGGATGCTAAAGCTGACAGGGATTGAAGCCATCTGAGCACCACATCCTTCACACCCTGGTTTTGTGGAAAGCTCGTCTCTAGTCTGGGGCTCGAACAAGCACCAGGATCAGAGGCAGAGTTTGAGAGGGGCTGGGGACCTTCAGATGAGATGGAGAAAACTTGCCCCTTGGCTTGGGAGAGGTGCCTAGTGGCCTCACTCCTGCAAACCCTCCTCTCCTGTGTCTTTGTCTCTCGCTACCTCTGTTTTCCACCCCAAACTCTGGCTTTGCCAAGGTGCCTTTGTCTGTCTTCTCGTGCCCTCTCCATCAGGTAAGGCCTCTCATGCCCAGGCTTCTATGTCTAGATGTTCAGCTGGCACCAGGGTCTGGAGCCACTTTCTGGCTTCTGTGACAGTCCACTACAGCTGACCCAGGTGGGGTGATTAGTCTGGAAGACTGCTCCCCTTTCTTGTAGGGTCCTGTCAAGGCCCATTCTCTGTGGACCCCTTGTCTCCTGCAGTGGTAACTTCATTGTTGCTGGGGGTTTTGGTCCCTGGGTTACTGACCTGAGACATCTTCACACTGGCTCTGGTGACCCTGGAACCAGTGACACAGTGGCTGGTTGTGGGGGAGAGATGGGTGGAGCTGGGCTGTCGGGCAGGTGAGGTTCCCCATTCTTAGGTAGCAGGGTGTATGGCAATGGCAGTGGAGGGGCCTCTTCTGAATTCCCTTGCAATATAGGAGGCCGCTAAATTTGCCATGAAGTCTTCCTTTAACCTTGTGCCATGAGGACCTTACACTCTCCCTGACTAGTAACAGAATTGGACCCAAGGAGGCTTGATTTGGGCTATTTTTCTACCACTGGTCTTTGTAGGGAAATTGGTCAAATGGCTGGAGTTTCCGGTGACTACCTTATACACGACCTGGACTGTGGGGACATCAAGGGTGCCTTCAGAGGGTCTAATGCACAATTTTCTGGGGGTCAATTTGACCCCATAATCTCTTGA